GCCTCTTGTAATAACAAATAGTTAATATATTCATTATACGGTGTTCAGTTCAGCAAATTCCACGCAGTGTTCAGAAACATATCTTGTTCGACACGAACATGTGAAAATAGAAGAAATGCCAAGCTATCGTGCTCAAAGCAGGTGAATACTAATAAATACGACATATGGAAGATATTTTTACTTTATTTTATCGATTAACGTCAGAATTCAGGGATTGCACTCTGTCGATAAGAGTTGTTACGGGTAAAATTGTAATGAAAATGATGTATAATATACCACTTATAAACTTACAAAGTTTGGCATGTTGTACAATTTAAATTGAAATTCAGTAAATTAAAAAACGGGATACTATTTGACTATCTTCAGTACTGTAAAAAGTAAAAAAGAAAAGCAGATCACATCTCATAAATCTCAGAATTAAGGTTCACGAGGATTCAGATGTCACAGATCAAAAGTCAGAAAACCTTAACTTTCAACATATTTTTTTACGAATTTCAAAAAATAAACAAAAAAAATAAGGTATATGAGGTCTATTACACTTTTTATATGATTTTGATTAAAATATCATATATTGACTGATTTTTTTTCGATACAATGAGGTGGTCAAATTCATGTAACATTAATGGCAGTCCTCTAGTTTTGATTTCAAGCATGCACAAGTATAAGAAAAGCGAAATTATCTGGTTATATATTGGAAACTCTTAAACATTCAAGGAGTTATGATTGAAAACATAAAATATTTCAATTATACGTACACTTTACTTTTTTTACCATTAATGTCCTAGATTCAATGCTGCGTAGATTAAGACGAGTATGCCTATATATTTTCAATGTTTTGTTTATTCTTGCATAACATCCATTCCACACATATAAATATTTTATTGGAAGGTCAGTGTAAAAGGGTGAAGGTTATATATATCCAATTTACAATACTTCTTTTTTATTGTATCCCGCATTTTTATTTATGATGGTGTTTGGTTAAATCATATACAGCTTATTTTGCTAAACCTTTGTTTAAATGGAATTCTAATTGTGCATATTTAGACAAATAGGATAAAACATTGCGCAGTAGAGCAGATGATTTCATTTTAACAAGGAGATTGTTTGAGATTTTCTGTATTCTAAATACTTTACGTAATTCTTTAAATTCCATATTTTATTCAGATACAAACCAAGACAATAACAAGTTCACCCAAACTTGTGAAACTTATAGGTTAAAACTTTTATGTAGTTTCTTTTTGAAGTTCTCCTAGATGAGAATTCTTAAAGGTCTCATCTTATCCAGGTGCGTAGTGGAGGTTTAGCCTAGGGGGATGCACTTTTGGCGCCGATAGATTTTTTTGTGCACTCCCCTAACGGTTGTTGTGCACCCCTCTAAAAAACCGGTATTAAGAGAAAATAAAGTTTAAAATCTATATTAATCTACCTGAAGGCTGACTATTAGTCATCTGACCATAATTACCAATCATTTTAAATGAAACCCCGGTACAAGAAAGAACTTGAGAAAAAATCATAAAATGGACAAATTGTGACATATTGTCGATTGATAAGAAAAGTAAAAAATCTGAATATTTATATAAGTTTATACTGTTTAATAAATTTGAGCCTGCCTCGTCTCTAGGGGGGTGCATGTCTAGGGGGGGCACAGGGGTATCGGCCCCCCTCCACTACGAGCCTGTTCTTATCTCGCAATGCTCTTTTGTATTTCAACTGTGAACGTTTTCTCGTTGTATACATTGTAAAACAAAAACAAACAAAATTTGAGGACTTGATGAACAAATTTCGTGGATTTTCAAAATTTAATGCAAATCGAATTTTGTTAGAAGCAGAATTTTAAAATTTGAATCATCTATACACCTTCAATGAGAGCATGTGAGGTACCACACAAAACTGGGCCCGATCGGTTCAGCCGTTTTGGCGTTTATTGGATACAAACGGACAGAGAAATAGACTAAACAAAGTATATAGATTGATATAGATTTACATTTTAAAGGGTAAAAAGGAAACATATATTTTAATATTGTTTTGGAGTCCCTAATATTTTCTTGATAGATTTAATAATCCCCATATATATCTTTACAACCTGATAGTGTAAACCTTTGATATTACCGTACAGTCAATCGCATTTTTTTTATAGAATTCGAATATTAATTTTCTACGAGGAAATTTTATTATTTCTTTATTATAAAACAGGTTGCAAAAAAAGTATTTAGGAATTTTTGTAATTTAAGTACAAGTTCAGATCAGTCAGATCAGTCAAACACGGGCCACCAGTGTACATTTAAATATCCAAGCCGGGCCAACCTTCGCAGTTCTAGTTTGAACTGTACCGCCAATTTATAATTACTATAGCGGCAGAGGAGTGTGCAAAGGTATAAAGGGTACTATTGTGAATCTGACACGCTACTCTACAAATTTATGGTCACTTGAAAGTACGCATCAGCCCATTTAAACGTGTGTTTGGAAAGTCTAAAATAATTTTACCTTTATTTTGTCTATTGTGATTGACATGTTGATATTTCTAAATTATTAAAGACTGGAAAGATTTATGACACACGTCTCAAACTTTCAATTCTTTTGGGGAAACCCTGACCCACTAAATATTTATAATTTGGAAGTATTTTTGATAATAAATAATTCAGACACTCTGTGTCATTATTTCCAGATATATAAACAAACAATATTTTTGTCCTCTGTTTAAATCTGAAAATTTTCTTCAGTTTCTTTCTGAAGCAGTATTGCTTAGTCACTTTAGAAAGAAACCATTATTGAAATAAATCAACTTTTAATGATAATATGATGATATTTCATCCTGATCAGACAAAGCTTTTAAGGTAACCGTTGTGAATCTGACATGCCACTTCATGGATGGAGGAGGGAGGGGTGCCTGGTCTTAGGGTTTTGGAATTGTTCCTAGGGTTTTGGAGTCGCTCCTAGGGTTTTGGAATTGCTCCTAGGGTTTTGGAGTTGCTCCTAGGGTTTTGGAGTTGCTCATAGGGTTTTGGAGTTGCTCCTAGGGTTTTGGAGTGCTCGCAGGGTTTTCGAGTAAAATGTGAAAATTTATCCGACCTTTTATCAAAAGTCAAATCCTTTAAAACTGAAAATTGAAAAAAATGGCGCTGCAGTTCCACTTTTTACTGTCTTTATCAGATATTTGCAAAGGAAAAATCGCGAATTTCAATCCAAGTAGCATGTTTTGATTAGGCAAACTGACGACATTTGTTTCAGCTTATACATTGATTATAATGGTATATATAAAAAAAATCTTTTTTTTAGCTAAATAGACAAAGGTTTTATTTTAGCTGGTCTAATACATCTCAACTTAGTTATCATATTTCAAGTGTTTTCAGACAAAAGAAACTACATATATAGTCCCTTTAAAAGAAAGAGCGAAGACGACAATTAGTCCTTTGTATATAAACCTGAAAAAAACAGGTGAATAACAACATTAGAGACTAGTCAACCTAGACAAATCAAACTATAAACAGGTGAATAACAAAACTAAAACCAAAATTATTTAAATATTTTTTGAAAATCCCCCCCTTCCCTCCCTTCCGAAGTAAATATACCAAGATGATATTTTGAGATTTTATCGTTGAACTACTGGCAAATTTGGGAAAAATTCACATGCTTTTTCAAGGAAAAATCGATTTTATGGATAGGTTTTGATAAAAAGTAAAAATAACAAGTACCCATGAATTCCCAGAATCGTTGTTAGGAAATTAAGAAGCTATGCATTAACTATAGACCTGAGCTGAAAACCTCAAATGGTGGATATCGAGACCAATGCTTGATCTCCTCTTTTTCTTAATCTCCAGATTAAATAATGCTTGTTCTCCTCTTCTTATTAATCTCCAGATTAACTGATAGGGATTAAGGATATCCCATTCTAAAGTTTTCAGCTCTGGTAGGTTAGAAAACAATTTTTTTAGAAAACTGAGTTACTAGGAACCTTTTTAATCATAGTAACCTGGTATCTATAGTTAAGAACCTGGTATACATAGTTAGGAACCTGGTATCTATAGTTAGGAACCTGGTATCTATAGTTAGGAACCTAGTATCTATAGTTAGGAACCTGGTATCTATAGTTAGAAACATGATATTTAAAGTGAGAAACCAGTTATTATGTATAGTTAGGAACCTGGTATCTATTGTTAGGAACCTGATATCTTTGAATAGTTAGGAACCTGGTATTTATGTATAGTTAGGAACCTGTTATCTATGAATAGTTAGGAACCTGGTAACCTGAATAGTAAAGAACTTTGTTTAAAAACCTACTGTTTGCTCTCCATATAATTCAATTTAAAGTTTCAAGTATTTTCTTGTGTTTTGTGAAGTGTGGGGAGGGGGGAAGGTGGGGGGAGGGAGAAGGTTAACTACTTAAGGGCAGGAGAGGTTGGTTGGATGAGAGAGGAAAGGGCGGCGGGGGGGGGATGGAGCAGATGGAACGGGGGGATCGGATGTAAAATGGGTAGGATATTGCAGTAGTTCCAGTAAAAGAGGAGTTTTTTACTTAGTAAACACAATAAACATTAAAAGACTTATTTTTTTGTTTTAATCTGTCATACAGATTTATTCAACTTTTTACAAGAACATACTTTTGTGAAGAACACTTTAAAGGCATTGATTCCATGCCACAAACTCTATTTTTTCTAATTCCTGTATTTGCAATTAAATGCGGTAAACCTTAGATATTTTTACTATCAATTCTGTTAGATTTGAAATATCAAAGTTTTTCAGTGCAGCGTCAGGTGGCAAAGTTTTAGGAATTAGACCAATTTCACTTTACAAGTTGATTTCAAGCTGCTTGCTTTATTACAACATCAAATACAAACAAATTGCTAAAATGTCGTTTACCATTCCACAGTTGGCATGGGTCTTACACTAAAGCTTTACAACCTAAATGTGTATACGTAAGTTGTTTAGGAGAAATCTTAGTTTGAAATATCAAAGGTCTACAAAACTTGTGGCGAGTAATTAGTTTATTTCTTTAAAAAGAAGGTTGAACCAATTATTCAATATCTTCTGCTTTATCTTCCTTAACCCTTCTTTTTATTCCATTGTTTTCAAATTAAAATAAAATATTTAGGATTGATCTAACTCCTGGTTAATCCAAGAACCAACAGAATTCAAATCCTGAC